GGCTTCCCAGTTTCTGAATTTCCTCCTTGAGCATCTGGGAATCGAGATCTGGGTATGCACATTTGCTAAGATAGGTTTTGGTTGAAAGCAGAAAACTGAAGTAGTTCGGGGATAACCTTCCCTAAACGTAACCCCGCCCATCAGTGCTGTGAAGGAGGCTAGGCTCTGGGGAAAGGGTCCATTTTCTCTCCTAGGCTTTTCTTTCTACTTGACACAGCCTGTTCATGTTATAGTGGCTTTCTCGAATTACTATTCGCCTTTTCTCTTTCCCTTCTTATCCATTCTGGCCTCAGCTGCATGAGGGAATATTTGGGGGTGGAAGATAATAAAACTCCTTGTGAACCTCAATGACCTCATGATGCCTGCACTCCTGGGGACTCTATCCTCACTCCATCCCAGTGGTCCCTGGCTACCTCTCCATTCTCCCAGTTGCTAGTTGTGGTCTCTCAAATTGAGCCTTATGGGTACATTTTTGGGTTGCAATGTTATAATTGGTTGGTGGGAGGAAAAGGAGAGAGAAAAGCTGAAGGGAGAGGGAGATGGGACAGAGCCCTTCCACTTTCTTTCTCCTCCCACAAAGGAAGCAGAAATTACACATGTTTGAAAAGTTAGTGGATGCTGGGTTCCCTGTTAAGAGAAGGGAAGTCCAGAGTCAATACTCTTTTTTTTATATAAATATGTTTTTATTTTTATTTTATTTTTTAAATTAAATTTTATTTTTTTAATGGAGGTGCTGGGGGTTGAGCCCAGGACCTCGTGCATGCTAAGCATGCGCTCTACCACTGAGCTCTACCATCCCACTGCCAGAGTCAATATTCTTTATAAATCAATCCACACCATGAATTGTAGGATTTGTATGAAAAATAAAACCTCACAGATTTCTGATTTAATTTTCTTGCCCACATCTCTGCAATTTAAAGGGTGGCACTTAAACCAGAAACCCCAAACGCCTTGACACAAAGTTAATGGTCTTTCCATTATGGTCTTTATGATCTTCGAACTGGAGATGATTCCCCTGCCCTCAGCCCACTGTAAAAGTCTGTGAAGAGTGTGGGTGGAACTCCAGACCCTCCCATCACCAGCATCTGCTCTTCTGAGTCAGCCTAACCACTTTTCTGAAACTAAGGAAGGAACAGACATTAATTTAAGGAGAAGGTAGAGGAAATACATGACTTTCGTGGGTGGAAGGACAGCGTAGCTTGTGTGAAAGCACTTGGACTTAGAGGAAAAGATCTGAGCTTAAATCCCCACTGGGCCACGTTATATGATTCAGCTTAAGGAATTACGAGGACTCTCTGAGTGCAGGGTGAGGATTTGCAGATTATATGACCTGACTTACCTTCTGCACAAGCTATTGTGAGCACCCAAGGACACATATATTGAATGTGAACAGAGTTCAGCTGTTTGGCATTTGATTCAATAACCACTTAGAATAACAGCCAGCATGAGGTAAATGCTCAATAAATGTTAGTACTTTTATTAAATATTCCAATATGGTGCTCAATTCCCATCTTCAAGCCATCTCTTTCACTCTCTACTTCTATTTTTTTTCTCTTCTCTTACTATTCTGTAACTCCCTTCTCTATGAAGCTTTTATAAGAAAAAGAAATAAGATTGTCGATCTAATGAAATCTTCTCTGATTTAGGTCCCGGATAATGCAGTTTGCAACCCATGTAATATATCGGCTTATGGTGTCTGGTGACAGTTACTTGAAGGAGTATTCATTGAGGAAGTTAGGTTTCAAAAAACTTTCAGAATGCACACGCACACCCACACACACCTGCATGCAGCCCTCCAAACCCTACTGAGATTTAAGAAAAACTTTTTATTTGTAACATAATTAAACCGACCATTAGAAATTATTTGCAGGACTCAACTATTTCTACTTAGACAGCAATGGCATTTAAAATTAATGCACTTTGCCAACAAAATGAATTGCTTTTATAAGAAAGTACTTACAATTTCAAGTATTTTTTTCCTGAAATCTTGAGGTGAAAGTAACTTCATTATTCTTTTCCATTGATACATATTTAAAGACACGATCAAGACCAAATTCAAGGAGAAATATATGTTCAAGGCTGATGAAACTGTACAAATACGTTTTCACTGATATTTTATAATGTTTCTTTGGCGTATTCACCCATCAGTTTTCTCTCTGCTCTCTGTTTTCTACATTGTAAACAGAGAGAGGGCATACACAATGGGTAGCGCAAGGTGATAATTCTGCAATAATGACAACAGTGAATTTGAAGTCTAAGTGCCCTGTTACCAGAACTTCAGCTTTGCAGGGCCTGTTGGGAAAGTCATTTCTCAGATATGCGATAGGATGGACCACACTTTACCACAAAAACTTATCTCTGCTTAAACAGATAGTCCACAGCCTGTGAAAAGCCTCCTTTTTTCCAATCTATTTTTATGCAAAGTGTAGAAGAGGCCACAACCTATGCCCTATGACTAGGTGTCATTAAGATCCCAGGTATAAATGTCTCCTGAGAAAGCTCAATGATCTTTTAGTTTATAAGACATAAAACGGAAAAAAAAAAAGTCCAGCTCTGTTCCACTCACTGCGGACAACATGACAAGCCAACATGGCAGCAAACTGGGATACCAAAACATCACTAATCTGCCACTGCACACAGGCCAAGATATTAGCAGAGGAGGCAGGTTGAGAAAGTTAGGGGCAGAGGCCTGGGATGATGGAGGCCTGTTGTGTGAGGGCATCGCCCACTGTGATATTCTGTGAATGCTTGCAATAAAGGAACCCCATTCACAGGCTGGGGAGGGCGGTCACAGGAACAGCAGTGGGAAAGAGGTCTTAGATGGTAGATGGGAACAGTTGGACAGTGTTTTCTTTCCTTTCCCTTTTTTTTTTTTTTTGATCCATCTAAGCTCATACCATCCAATCGCTGCTGTCCTGAGGCAGCTAACAGGTCTGGGATTCTGTCCTAGAACTCACCCTCCTCGCTGAAGAGCCCTCCCTCCCCACAAGCCCTGAGACAGACAACGGAGAGGTGTGATGGCCCCGGTGTGCACTGTGCCTTCCCTTCTAGGTTGGACCCTGTCAGGCAGCAGCCCGTGTTTTCCACCGGCTGCTAGAGGCCCCGTCCACCTGCTGTCTGCAGCCGACACCACAAGGAACGGGAGCCAACCTGTGAATCCCTGGCCAGCTGAAGAGGTGTCCTGGACAGGCAGCAGGGGCTGGAACCCGTGCGGACAGACGGACTGACAACCAGACAGACAGACAGCAGCACCAGCAGACACCAGCCATAACTTCCAGGCTCAGAAGAGGGGAAGCCTGTCACGCCAGGGACACTGCTCTGCCAGGGCTGGGCAGCAGGTTCGCCAGGGCTCTGCGCCCTCCAGTCGGCGGGCTGAGAGTCTTGGTTTTTTTGGACAAGAAGGAGCGGAGAATTCAGAAACCTGCTGCTTTCTATAGAACCAGATCAGCTCTGGCCTTCTAAGTTCCCAGCCCCTGTCGGAGTCTACGATAAAAGGGCAGGGATGACTAGATCTCTATGCTTGTGCTGTGACCTGGCCCCCACATCTCTCCCTCAATACGCCCGGCTCCCATCTGGGTGGCAGCTGCACTGGGGGAAACCCAGCAGTCTGGGGATGCAGCCTCCCTCCACCCCTCTCCTGAGCAGCTCTGCTGCGTGGAGGGGAAGCGGAAGAAACCTTCCCTTCCTTGGCAGCATCCTCTCTCCAGGAGGCGCTCCTAGGGGGCGGGGTGTGCTCTGGGCGGGGGGGCCACACCTTGGCTGCCCCTTCTTTGCGCTCAGCTGACTCCAGATGCAACAGGTCCCCTCTGGCCCTTCACACTGATCTTCTGCCCCCAGATACACCTTCTGGCTTGAATGGAGGTGGGGGGCATCCCCAGGAATCAGTCCCAAATTGGGGTCTCTCAATTCCCTTACCCCCAGGATAAAAACTTTCCAGACTACAGGGAGAGCTCTCAAGGGAAGGCGGGGCTGAAGTCCCCTCCCGGTCCACCCTAGGGTGATGGGAAGGAGGTGCTGGATGCCAGCACTTTGTAAGCGGGTTTTGCCTCACACTCAGATAAGCAGCAGCACGAGGAGGGTCACACATACCTGTACCATCGGCAGTTGGCCCCATCCCCTCCCAGACCCAGGAAGACGGGGTCCTGCACAGAGCTTCCCTGAAGGGCTGATGGGCTTTAAAGAAGGGGGGATGTGTGCAAATATTCAGCTCCCTATGGGACCGCTTCCCCCAGGAAATGAACAAGCCCCAGAAGCCAGTAAAGAGGAACCTCTATTTTATTCAGGCCAGAGTCCCCATCAGCTTCTCCCATTATTAAAAACTTTACGCGGCCCACGGCATCTTATGTGGGGAAGAAACTGTGTCTTCACACAGGTATTCTGTGTGGAAGACTGTGAATCAGAGGTTAAAGAGAAGCCAGGGAGGCAGGTTACCAAAGAGGGCAGATGCCCCCCAAAAGAACCAATCTTGATCTAGGAGATGAATGAGTAGCAAAACCAACAGTCCAAATAAGCTTTTTTCTTAGGTGGGTACTGGCACCCTTCGCGGGGGTAACCCCAACCTGCTCAACAACTCCAAGGGAAGAAGAGGAGCGTTCTCAGGGCTCTCCATCCCACCTCCCCTTCCTTCCGCCCAGCCCCTGCCCCTCACCTGCTCCCACTCCAGGGCCCTGCCTTCCACTTGGGTGGAACCGGCTCTCCTCAGCCTCTGCATATCCCACCCCCGGGGGCCCCGTGCACCCAGTCTCCCCTGAGCCTCAGTCTCCAGCCATCCTCTCCACGCTCCTCGGCTCAGGGCTCGGCTCGGCGGCATCCCCTCCTTCCACCTGGCCCCTGACCCTCCTCCGGTCCCAGCCCCGCGCCCCGGCCCCCGGGCGGGCGTCTCCGCCCGCACCCCTGCACCCTGGCCCGCCCCTCCCCCACGCTCAGCCCGGAGGATGGGGCGAGCCAGCTGGGAATGCACCGATGGAGGATGGAGGCACGGCCGGCCGGGGCGGGCTTACTTGAGCATGGCTTCTTCTTTTTCCTCCTCCTCCTTCTGCCGGTCCATCACTGCCATGATGATGCTCCTCTCCTCCTCGGTCAGGTGGCTCAGGTCGGGCAGCTCGGGCATGGGGGGAGGCACCGTGGGTGGGCGAGGACCGCGAGGCCCCACGGCCGAAGACATCTTCGTGGCCTGCCAGCCCCTCGCTGGCCCTCGGGCTCGGGCTCACCTCTCGGGTCCACGCCCGGCAGCTGCGCCCCCGCTTCCCGTCACAGCGCAGCCCTCCCGGAGGCGGCGGCGGCGGCGGCGGCGGGGGAGCCGGGGAGAGCGCCAGCCCGGGCTCGCATGGTGCTTCGCCTCCACCCAGCCCCGGATGCGATGCTGCCTTTGTTTTGGCGGCCCCGGCGAGGCTCGGGCGGCCCAGCAGCCTCCCGCAGCCTAGCCTCGGCCGGCGGGGG